TCAAGAGCCTGGCATTTTTCAGGGACATTTTTCTAGGTTATGCTGCCCCACCCATACACAGCACCCACAAAGCATGAGGCAGCAGTGGGATCAAGGGCTTAGCAAAGGCCACCCCTCGGTGCCTCCTGACTGGGGATCCCACTGGAGAGCGCAGCCAGAGGCTCAGCCAAGAGCGCTCAAAGCCCTCGCTCCTGCCCCTCCAGTGACCTGCCCTTGGAGTAGGTCCTGTCCAGGCCCTGTCCAGGGCCCCAAGGGGGTGTTGATGGGCTCTGTGGGATTCCAGCTGAAATTTCCTTAGGGTGAATTATACTATTTTTTTTCCAGAAGCTTTTTAAAGACATAGATAAAGTCACACCGAAAACACTAAGGGTGTGAGGTCACTTAAAAAACTTCAAAATAGTATTGTCAGCTCCAACTCTCAACACTTCTTAACCCTTGCTGCACATATTTAATTAAGCAGATTGCTGTTTAACTGCTTATTGCACTGTGTGGGACTGGCACCCATCAGTTCACAGAAAAGGCTACTATAGGTTTATCTATGTCTGTTATGTCACCTGTGCAGTGCTCTACTTGTACAACCACTTTCTTTACCACCCAGTAACAGATAATCGTGTCATAAATGGAGATCTGATGTCTGTCAAGGGCCTGCATCCTAAGCTGGCCTTTGACCAACAGAGGGAATTTCTGTGAAATCCAAATTAGGACACAAAGGTTTTTCCCAACGGAGAATGAACAACACTGACATAACACTGCCTTGCTTATGACAGATACCAACTTCTGATTAAGGATATTGTTTTAGAGCAGACTTTAAACTGGCATTTAAATCACTGATTTAACAGTTGGAAATATTTGCACCCATCAGTAAGGAGGGGCCCAGGAGCAGGAAAGAAATACTCTCCATAAATCACATTGACTTGCCCTAGGCACATTTTGCTAGTCAGCAGATGCAGCACTTATGAACATTTATTCAGGTGTTTGCACAAGAACCAAGTTACAGAATTAATGTCAGCAAATATATCAACTTACACTAAACCAACTAATTTTAATCAAAGCTCTGGATACACTTACACTTTTTAAAAGGTAGGTTCATATTCTGAAGAAGTGTTTGAGTGCTGTGGGGAGAAGGCAGCTCTCCATAACAGGGTTCCATAGTGTGTGAGTCTGTTCAGACTCACACAAACCATCAGTGGGAGTTAAATGCCTGGTATCTTAGAATGTTTTTGAGAATCCTACTTAGTCTCATTTTTCATCAGGCTACTAAAATAGATTATTTTTTAAATTTATTGAAAAAACACACATCCTCTTTGCTTTTAAAATTAATCTTGGCATCCTATGATCTCATAATAATTAAAGGCCTGTTAATGAAGTTTAGGAGTCTGGCATCACTAGACTCTCAGATTTGAGAGTACAAGATCTGAGATTAAAAACAAAAAAGGCACTGAAGAAAGGAAATCAAAATAGTTTAAGTTTTCCACGCATAATATTAGTGCTTATATATAATTTATTTAATTGTAAGGAATAAATACAGCTGCTTAATACAAAGGTGACATTTCTAAAACGAAATCTGACCTTGAAATATGGAAATATGTTTCTAGTTTAATGCTGCAATTAAAATCTGATTAAGTTTGAGTGTATGCAGGTACACCTCATTTGGCTGCAAGAGGTGCTCATTTAGCTCAACAAAAATGCTTGCCATTCAAACTTTTTGTAATCCCCAATTCCATCAATTCATCTCTCCACAGCACAGTCAGCTTGTCTGGTTGTATTTCAAACACTGCCCTTTCACTGGGTACCAATGGTTGTAACACAGAGCATCTGCTAAACTGTACTGTGCAAACTAAAGCTGGAACAGTATTTTGCACATCACTGGTTGAATGAAATCTTACATCTAAGGGGTCAGTTATTGTAAAATTAAGCAAAATGGAGGAATAAAAAAAACCCCCAAAGGTTGGTAGCTTTGTTCAATGCTACACAAAACAGAAAAATTCCACCTAAAGAAATATTATAGACTGCAGAGTCCCAGGGTTTCCTCTGAGCCCTACAACAAAAGGGCAATAGGCAAATTCTACTGCCTGCAATAAGTTAAAATTCAGGTTTTAAGTAGAAAGTGAGCAGAGGATCCACTTTCAGACAGCCTATGGAATCTCTATCCTAAAATACCTTCAAAACTTGACTGAACAAAACCTCAGTCAACCAGGACTAACTTTGCTCACGGTGTTTCCATTGATGTGCAATTTCTCCATGATTTCCAGTAAAACATTGTCATCAGAGAATTATGAGCTGCAGCCCAGTGATAAACTGGTACCATTATGGCAACGGGCCACTAAGACAAGAGAGCACCTCACAGTTGATCCTACTTTGTCTTAAAATTAAGATGTATTACCACATTCTTTTGGGTTGTGATTTAAGCAGGTACGTTTTATTAATCTCATGTACTCTTTAGATTTTGCATACATCCATTAACACTCCCATCATTACTGGACAAAAAAATAGGTATTCCTGACCACAACATTAATTCCTACCACCCAGGATCTTTTTTCTCCCCATTTATGAGAAAAAACCAGCATGCTTTTGAATAAGGCTGTCAGTGCCCTCTGGATTTTTCTTTTTTTTTTCTCAAAAACTTTTCTATTCTTTACAAGGAATTTCCACTGCTTAAAACTTTATTCTTCTAGTTTTTCTCATGTCCTATTAAAGAAGCAGTATCTTTCATTAAAAAGTCATTTTTCAACAAATCTCTCAGTAAGCTCCCTCGGATTCCTGCAGCAGGCACAAAATCAGTTTTACTCACCAAAGTTTTTATACAAATGGCACTTCTCAAACACTAATGTTTATCTGCAGAACTTCCCAAACTGACACTACCAACATTAGCACAGATATTCCAAGTACTTTTAGGAAGATTTGCAGCCATTCTAGAAGTCAGTACAAGAGGTCAATGACTGCCAAAACCAGAAGGGATCATATCCTTCCCCTTCAAGTGCCAAAACCATTGGTAATGTTTTGTTTCAGGTCCAGTCACTTCCTTGTTTGTAGATGAATGGCTAAGCAGTTGGGTAGTTTCACATCATCAGGAAGCAAATTTTATGCATTTTTACATAGTGTACTGATGGAAATGCCAGGACAGAGCTGCTGATTTTTTTTTTATTATTATTACTTTCTTACATGCATTTTATCTGTAGTTCCCATACAAGAGTAGACCAACTGAATTGTATCTCACATTCAATAAAACCCTGAGCTGGGGAGCCATTATTTGAGCATTTGTCTGCCAATGAGACATCCAAGATGCATCCACCATGACTTAAACAATTCTGTTTTACTGGACTTCCAGGCCATTCTGCAGTTTAATTCAGTTTAGCCTGATGCTAAGCTTTAAAGTTAGTATTCAACCACACTTCTGCACTGGGAAGTTGTCATATTTGCATCGGATAAGCAAATCCAACATAGTAATTAACTGATTAGCACCAGTCATGCATTTATGTCATACAGCTGGACAAGATCAGCTAGAGAGGGTCATTGATGCAGTGTGTTTTCTTACACAGCATTTGTCCAGGGAATGACCTTCTCCCACAGCACATCACACCTCAGCACTGTGGGAAGTTATGCTGAGGCACACCACAGTCAGAATTTTGATATTCTTGGGCCCTGCCAAAATTATTAGGAGAAGAGCTACTAATACTTGTCTCTAGGCATGGTATGGCTTTTCTTTTCGAAGTCCAGGAAGAATTTTTAGTGTACTTAACAGTCCCCTGGAAGTTCAAAAAGCTACAAAACCTTCCCTGCACCTGAGCTTTCAGCTCAGTTAGATTCTCATATAGATGATGACTACAAATAATGGTGTACAAACAATAACAGGATAATCATGGCACACCATGGGGGGAAACACAAGAAAAAGCTTACAAAACTTAAGTCTGATATCATTAATCCCCTTACAGAATAAAAATGCTGTGACTCAGCTGTTTTTCCCATTGGAGGTAGGTTTATGACAGACAATATGCTCAGACAAGTGTCTCCATCCAGTCAAGAGCAGAAGTTATTTATCCCTCCTGTCCACCACACACTGTTTACCTCAGTGTGTCATCTGTCTGCAAATCATGGCTTAGGAACTGCAGTGTTTCAATGAGCACAGCTATTGGAAACAAAAGACAGTCTTTTCTGTCCTTTGAAGAGATCATTCTCCAAAGGTTTTTCTTCCACTGTCTCCTTTCATTTTCTTCATTTTGCTTTAACCTTACCTTATTCTAACCAAGCCAGCTCACCTGAATTCTATTTCAGGGCACCTGCTAAACTGCAGAGCACAGAGGCTGATCTGAATTCAGGTTATTCTGAAGGAGTTTGTAAAACAATATTCCTTTCTTGAGAGCAAAATCCCACTGAATGGAATGTCCAGACAGGTTTCCAGTTTTGCTGCACTCCAGCAACAGGTACAGAGCTGACATATCAATCTACTTGAGGCTAAATTGGTTACCCTAGAAGTTATGACAGACCCTCAAACAAACAATACCCATCAGTGAACAGCATTGTATCTGCACAGGGCCCAGAACAGCTGGGGCCAAGAAACCAGACTTCATCACCATTCCTTCAGAAGAACTGTTCTGAGCAAAGCATTCACATCATCACTGACTTCAGGAAAAAGAAAACTCTGGGATCAGTGGTAGAGAGAATGACAAAAACAAAGGCAGATATAAACACAGAAGGATGCTACCATTCCATCCCATGACTTTTAGAGGAACATCTTTAAATGGTCCAAGTATTCCCCAAAAGCCTGACAGCATTACATACCATGACACATATCAAGGTCAGGTCCTACCATGCATTCCCTCAAGTTTAAGGGAGGTGGAAGACAGCAAACTACATCCCATATTAATATAGAGCATAAAAAAATACCTTTATTTTTCTAAGCTAATTGAAATTATTTTTCTCCCTTTTCCTAACCCCCTACAGATCAAGGGTTTACGAGAATGGATCCAGAGGAAACAAAGCAGTCCTGACAGGAGACTTACCTAGCACAGTGTTCTCTCCAACAGAAGCCCATAGGAATGCCTAGGAAGAAAAAAAGCATATGAATGTATTTTAGCACACTGTCAAACTTCACAATCTACAGTTCAGGAATTTCCTGGTCCAAAAGGAATGAGTTTCCTAGTGGCTGGATTTCTCTTCTGTGTAAGTTTTTCCCTTTTGAACCCATGAAAATGAATACTGTTGCAATATTCTGTGGCCCTCAGTTCTGTAGTTAAGCCCCACGCTCTGTGAAAGTGTCAGTTTTTTATTTTTAACCCTGCCATCTGATAATAAGGAGAACACACGAAATGACTGCAGAGGAAAACACTTTCTTCCTGTTGATTTTCCATGACACTTGTGGTTTTGTAAAGATCCGCCTTGTACTGTCAGGCCAAAAAAAGAAGAAAAAAAAAAGATGAGAGAGCACTGCTGGAAATTCTGTTTCTCATTAAAAATACAGAGAAACATGAAGTCCATTATACTCTTTTTGATACTGCACATACCAGAAATACTTATCTTCAAGAGGAAGGCATAACATGACTGTATAATGATGGGGTATCTTCAGTTTTCTAGTTTTTCTTTGCACAACATTACTTAGCACTGGTCTGTTATTTTGCCAGAAGATTTAATTCAGATTTACTTTTTATTTTACTGAGTGGAAGAGAGCTGGACAACGATATTGGTTACAGAGTGCCCTCTTCTCCCCTAAGTAAAACACCAGGATAAAGACAAAAGCATTACTGAAAAAAGGACAAATCTCCTAAATCAAGTGCGAGGGATACACAGAGTCACTCACCCTGAACAGAAAGTTCTCTTAAATCACCAGTTTCTTCTTCAATGACCACCCTCAGTGTAATTATTAGCTACCAAATCTACATTTCTAGAGGACAAGAATAAAATATCAGAGGTAATCAAGACATGGTAGGACCTGCTCCCAGAACAAGAAGTATTAGTTTTCTCTTTAAGAGTGTACCAAATCTTCATGCATTATGCTTTGCAGAATTGTTTCAGTCAAGATCAATCTTATTTCTATGAAGTATTTAGCAAACTTACCACTGAAGTCAATAAAAGAATTTACAATAAGCAGGATAAAGAGATATGCAAGACCAAGCTCAAAGAACTTCTGTAAGGCCCCAGTAACAAACTCTATAGTGAAATATCTGATGTGCCACCCTGGCTTTATCCAAAGCCCAAGTAAACAAAATGAGTTTGAGGCTTTGAAAATAAATACATTTGAGTTGTCTTATGTCTTCAGCAGCATCTTTTGCCTTCAGGAAAAACAAGTCTTAATAAGACTTAGGAATCCCATCTCCAAGCTTTAACTTTGCATCACATTGGTAAAGTAACATTTAGATAAATATCCAAACTGTAAACAAAGCAAGGGCAGCAACTTTATTTCACAACACGCTTTATTTCAGTGCTTTTAATCAGCGAGAAAGCAACTAAACAATGCACAATTCACAACACAATCCTCGTAGAAGCTGGAAAAGATATTAAGGTTCATGTCAAGTTCAACATGCTCTATTTTTATCTTCAGTCATTAGCCTTCTCATTAGCAGTAACTTAATATGTGAGAAAGGGTTAGGAGCAGCTAGGAAGTTATTCCAGTATAGAAATTTATTTATATATTTCAAAAAAAAAATTTAGCCAAACAAATAGTTCCAATAAAGTTTCTTAGACCCAGCCAACTAATGCAATCTCCCATTGTCCCAGTATACCAAATTAAGGTTTACAGGTTGCTTTAGAAAGTAGTAATTAATTGCTCACTATTTCTTCATAGTCATGGTGTACTTCATAAGCTTGTTTCATTCCAAAATTAAAAAAAAAATTCTGGACTCCCATTCTGCTCCAGCTCACAGAGAAACAATCTTCACATCCCTGTAGTTTGACACTAAGGCAACAATTCCTTTAGCATGTCTTTTTTCAATGGTGATATTTGGGATACTGCTTTAAGAGCTGGCTGAAGATACATCTTAAAGCATTGCACAAGATGGAGCCAACAACCCCATGATTGACTTACTGGGAGAGCAGAGTTTACATGAATAGGGAACTATCTGGTTTGGAGGGCAGAACTCTTGCAAGAAGTCTCGGGGATAAGAACTACCTGTTTTTTCTAGAGACAGCCTCAGCACTAGCAGACATCAGGATATTTGTATACCATGGAGATCCTGAAACCTTTTCAGCTGACTGCTAGCAAACCAGTGAATTAGTGGCCCTCTCCGTGTTATTTTGTTGCATGTAGGCAATAACTTAATTTCTCTGAGAGGATTAAACTAACTTCTGCCAATTCTGACATCAGTAATACAGAACTTAATGTTTCCAAGATGACAGTAATAGCTTTTTACCCAGAGCAATAGAAAAGTGTTGTGGTAAACTTTGCCTGGAGCCAATTTAGTTACATCTGGATATATGGCACCAAACCCAAGATAAATTATCCCAAGTGGAAAATCACCAAAATATCTTAATTCTAGAAGCTCTGTTTTCTGCTTATCTAAAGTTATGAAAGCAACTTAATGTTCTTTCTTTTATCTGACTCTTGATCTGTGCTTTGTCCTTCTGTTTCTCTAGAGATACAATCTGGGACTTTGTGGAGTGAAGCAGATTCAAGATAATGCCAAGTTCCAGCAGCCTTTGTTGAGAAATTCCTCTTGCACTTAGAATGAGGAAAGAACTACTAAGAGAGCTGCCAATGAAGACACTTAAGTTGATTGGAAATGTGGGTAAAAACCTTTATACCTTAGGCTTTTACCAGACTTGCTTCAAAAAAAAGATACCAGTGATACAACTTTCCTGGAAAACTTGTTATTTTGGCTGAGCTGTACCTAACAAGCTGTATCCTTTCAGAAGAGTTAACATAGTTCCAGTGTTAAAAGCTGCTTCATCTGTTCTGCAAAACGTGTCTACCACATTGTCTCATTTAGCAAATCTTAATGGAAATTCCTCCAGCTATGAAATACCAGCTATAAACTAAGTGATTATCTCCCTCACTGGAGAGATATTCAAGAAGTGCCTGGACACCATCCTGTGCCATGTGCTTTAGGATGATCCTGCTTGAGCAGGGAGGTTAATCCAGATGCCCCAGGGTGGTCCCTTCCAACCTGAACCACTCTGGGATTCTGTGCTGGTGGCGAATCTTGAATTAGAACTTCAGGAAGTGTTTAGTTCTGCTCCACTCTGCCTCACATTCTTGAAAGCAATACTGAAGTGCACGAGGACTTCTATGTAAGCACCCAGAGAAAAGTCAGAGCAGTTTCTGAAATCCCTGCCTCGGAGGTGGGACCTTTAATTTAGCATGAATACACCAAAAATGCTACCTTAATAAATTAGGCAAGTTAAGCCCCTTTTCAGCTGTTTGCTTTTGTGGGTGGGGTTTTGTTTTTGTTTTACACTAACCAACAGCCCTGGCTGATAGAGCTAAAGTCTCTGGAGGACTGTTAGTTACTTATTTTTTTCCATTGTTGATGCTATGGAGCCAGTGTAAGTCTAGAAGAGAAACATTCCGTTTCAGGTAAAGGCCTTTTTTTGTTTGTTTGTTTTTAACAATAACAGTGCATGAAAATATTTTCTAAATGAATCAATCTGCGGTGAAGTGCCTTGCTAACTCTATTTGGGGAGGAAGAAAAGCCTGAGAGTTTTGCAAGTTTACTATTTCAGAAAAAAAAAACCAAGACCAGACTGAATTAGAATTACTAAATATCAAGACTCAAAACTTTCAGGGCAGCAAATATGACTACACAAAAGTATCCAACCTTTTGTTCAAAGTATTACATTAGAAAGTGGAACTAGCCTTGCTACTGCAAAGAAAAAATAACCTTTGAAGCTGTTAAGGCAATTAGTGTACCTAAGCTTGAGTCTATTTTGGCTATAGCCAGTGCATATATATTGCAATAAAACACTGCCACTGTCTAGGATCTTAGCTGACCTGCTCTTGTTAAAAGATATCAACTAGCAGCATCCTCAAGAAATCTGTAACAGCTGTAGAATATCAGACTGTTTCTCTCATGAACTCTTGGACAGTTCTTAAGTAATATACTGTAAAATACCCTGAAAAACACAGGTGTAAGGGTGACCCACAAGTCTAGCCTGTTTGCTCTCAGAAAACCATATGAGTGCACATAAAGTGAAATACAAATCTGATTTTGTGGTTAAGCAGATAATAACATCTGCTCTACAAGAACTTATTTTAATAAAATTTGCATGAACGTGCCTTAGGTAGCTTTGAAGTTACCTTTTACCTGCAGTGTAGCAAAGATGTCACATTCAGTGAGAACTTCCTTTACCACCTGGATGAACTTAGCCTGGAAGTCAGCACAGGCTCCCAGCCCAGTTCAAGGCAGCAACACTGTGGGGGACTGCACAGAGAGCTTTGGGTGATCAGCCTGTACCTCAGACTATAACCACAGTCTCTAGTAAATAATGAAGATACCAGCTCTGTGGCTTAAATCATCTCTCAGTAAATACTTCACCACATGCAATTTGTAGTTGCCTGGGTAGGACTTTTTTTGTAGACAAGGCAGTGCTTTTATATATCACTACATCACATCCCATGGAAATGTCCTGCAAACATCTGTTAAGTGGCACTGATGACAACTGTTCTTCTCTTGTTATGTGGATACACAGCAGCTCATAATGTGTGTTGAAATTTGAATTGACTGCTCACTTTAGTGAGAACGACACATTTATCACTAATGCCTCTTACAGATCACCCTTAATAAAGCAGAGATTTGTCTTAACTCCCTTTTTCCAACAGTTTAAATGTACAACTTGATTCCACCTTCTTACCTAAGGTCTAGGCTTGTTATACTGAGAGTGAAAGATGACTGGATTACTAACCTGATATCCTTCTCTCATGTTTTCATTCACTCCTTACATTTAGGTATATCCTGTTAATCTAGAAACAAAAATATCAGCTCATCTATCACCTTTGTGGAGTACTAGCAGTACTCCAAGAATGGAGCTCCCTGGGCTCTTTGGACAACTACTTGTGGAGATATAAAAGACATGCACTTGGGAAATAATAATCTCCAAACCTACAAACTAAA